ACGCTGCTGTTGGGCTTCCAGCAGGGGTCAGGAGGGGAAGGTCCTAAGATTCTGACAGGCGGCCCGAATGCAAATGATGGGTTGAGGCTGCCATGTCGAGGGCACGTTCGCCGGCCACGCCCACCGGTCACGCCCTCCGGTCACGCCCTCTGATACCTAAATCGAGGAGGACATTATGGACCCGGGGAATGCTATCAGGCGGGGGATGTTTTGCATTGCTTTTTGATTTGGTTTCTCGAATTGATTTTTTTTTTTTTTTTTGAGTTTTGTGTGTGAATGGTAATCACAAATAAGGTTAGTGTGCGTGTGTGGTTTTGATGATGATGATGATAATGATGATAAACCTTTGCATCCTGTACGCCGGCCATCTCGTAATCGTTCTTTTAATATATAATTTTGCTCTCTATTATGACAGGCATGCTGCCCACTCGCGGTTGTTTGTACGGTAGAGATTTCCATTTTATTTATGGGTATTTACGCTTCTTTCGTCTCCGGAAAACTGTACGTTTTTTCTTTTTCTTCATCATCTTCCTCACCTTTTTTTTCTTTTCTAATTCTTCTTCTTCTTCTTCTTTTTTCTTCTTTTCCTTCTTCTTTTTCTTCTTTTTTCTTTTTTTTCTTCTTTTCCTTCTTCTTCTTCTTCTTCTTCTTTCTTCTTTTCCTCCTCCTTCTTCTTTTTCTTCTTCTTCTTCTGCTACTTATTTTTCTTCTTCATCGCCTTCATCTACTTTTTTTTGTTTCCTTTTAGCAATTTGAATCTTCATTATAGAGTCGATTGCTTCGGACACGCCCTGAGTGATTTACGCCCTGTCAGTGCAAACTTATCATCTCGATCTTAAAAAATGACACTGATAATTTACAAGACCAAGACTGACACGAGGCCGACTTGTGTATCTGCGAGCGAAATGGGTGGAAACTGAGGATAGAGGACGCGGAGGAGAAGGAGAGAGAGATAGGGAGAAAGGAGGGGGGGCAAGGAAGAGGGAGAGGAGGAGAAAGGAAAAGGGAGAAGGGAAGTAAGGAAGAGAGAGATGGTAAGAGAGACGGAAATAGTGAGAGATACTGAGAGTGACAGTGAAAAGGACGAAAAGGAGAGACAAACTAATAGAGACAAACAGACAGATACCCCCTCCCCCCAAAAAAAAACAAAAAAACAAAAAAACAAAAACAAAAGGAAAGTGAAATGGAAAGGAAGGAATATAAGCCCGATATCCTCAGAAGGAGGAGAGCTGGCCTCGCCGAAACACCTGCGAGACAGACTCCGCGCATTGAATATGTAACGGACGTCGCTTCTCGCTAGAGCCATCGCCTTCATCCTCCGAATATGCGGGAAATGGCGGCGGCGACCGTGGGAGAGATGGGCGGAAGGGGAAGGGGAAGAGGGGGAGGGAGGAGAGGAGGGAATGGGGAAGAGGGAAAGAGGGCTAAGAAATGGGAAATTGGTCGGGGAGGAACATGCGGAAATGGGGGAAAAGGGGAAGGGTGAAGGAAAGGGAAATGGTTGAATAGGGAATTAGGGATGGGTGGAGGAGGGAAAGTGGAAGAGGGAGAGGATGAGGAAAATGGAAACAGGGGTATGGGGAGAGGGTGAAGAAAAGGGGAAAGGGAATTGAGATACGAGCAAGAAAAGGGGGTGAGGGAAAGGGAAAATAAATAGGGAAAGGGGGATGACTAGAGGGAGATAAAATGGGAAAAAACGAAAAATTAATAGAAGCGAAAATATATAATGAAATGGAAAGCGAACTGAAGAGAAAAAAATGAATGGATGGAAAAAATAGCGCATCTATAGAACCTCTGGATCTGGAGCTTTGATAGCGTTCATGAGAGATTACTTGACGCCTGCGTAAAGATATTTTAAAGACGGAGTAAGAGTGGGATCTGCTATTTGAGAGAATGGCCGGATTATGGCGAGGCTAAATCGGGGTTTAAAAGGAGTAAAGAAGCCGTTTAGCCAGTAGCAAGATGCATGGCCATGACTTCCATCCATCTTGAGGGACGGTAAACTCGAAGGGACAGTTATGGCCACGCCGGTGCAGAAGCAGCGAGATGAGGCTTGCTCGGTGGCCACATCTGGAAGAGCCAGGCGGAGGAATGCCTCTTTGGCTTAAAAAAGAGAGGTTTGTTGCTTCAAAAAAAGAGCTTTGTGGCCCCCAAAAAGCTCTTAGGCTTAAAGACTATATCTATGGGTAAAAAATGAGAGCTCTATGGCTTAAAAAAGTTGTGTTAAAAAAGAGAGCTCTATGGCCTAAGAAATAAAGAACTCACGTGAGTGTACGAGTCTACTGAGGGGCAGGAGAAAGGTCAGGGCGGTATGCGAAAGATGGGGTCACAGACGGGGGGGACAAGGAAGGGCGCGATAATGGGCGACCGGAAGCGAAAGGAGGAAGGAAGGAAGGAAGAAGGAAGGAAGGAAGGAAGAAGAAGGAGGAAGGAAGGAAGGAAGGAAGGGAAGGAAGGAGGGAAACAAGGGCGATGGAGATGACATCCGGAAGCTACCGGG